CACACACACACACCCTTCTTTTCTGTAAGACATACATCTGCGTCTAGTCAGTCTCGTTATGCTTTATACCCTCAGTGCAACCAACTTACCCCCCCCCCTCTTTTTTCCTACTAAAGGGGACACTTGTCTGCAGTCTGTCTTGTTATGTCTTATACCCTTGTCGCAACCCGCATTACCATCAGTGTTACTCTTTAAGAAATAAAAATGCTTCTCGTCTGTCTCGGTACATTGACATACACCTCGGTACAACCCTATTCCCTCTCTTTTCAACCCCATAAAACTTCCTGTAGTCGGTCTCGTCATGCAATGTACCTTAGGTAAACCCACTACCTTAAAATTACAAAATTATATCTGACATTTTCGGCCGTTTTGAGTTACCAAGAACATGATGCCAGATACAAAAAAAAATCTATCTGCTCTATCAAAAGTGTAAGATTATCCTCAGTCGTAATCAAGATATTCAAAGAATTGCTTTCGAAAAAGCTTGAACATGTTGTGAAACTAAAAATATTGTACATCAAAATTTTGAAAACAAGGTACTGAGCAAAAAGAACTTGTAAGTCTAGGGTCACGAACTCTATCTCCTCGCCCCCCCCACCCCAACCCCCTCTTTTCCCCTTGCATAAGACATAAACTGCCTTCAATCAGTCTCGCTCTATCCTCTGTACAACTTCCCTCTCCCTATCTTTCCTCCATTAGATACAGAACTGCCCACAGTCTATCTTGTCTTGTCTGTGTACCTCGGGGACGCAGTTTCTGAATGAGTTGTCCTCTCCCCGGACCGTGGGAGCCCGGATGCGAGATGTCCGCTGATAGCAAAGGGCATGATATGTAATAAAAACATATGAGAACAATTCCATTCAACTGAAAACCATCCCTCTAGGGATATAAGGGAGGCTCCAGACTGAAAGTGTACGCAAGTAACTTTGTTATAATATGCGATTTTTTGGTTGCTGTGTCGCTTCTACGGTCTATGGAACGAGGTAATTTCGAGTAGTATATTATACTATTCCTTTAGGAATTTCTCGAGAGTATAAATGTCTCTTTTCTTTGGCCTTGTGTGAATAGGGTGACGAAGGCAGAATGCTTTGGTTTGTCTTTGCAAAGTTAGTTTGAAGAGGAGGTGATGATCATGTGTCTGTGAATGAAGGAAGGAGGTCAGACCAGAGGGGAATGACCGGTGAGGTCGAACAAGGGGTTTGGCAGTGCAGGAGTTGCGGGGGAGATGAGGAATGGTTGTGTTTTATATATTATAAATATATTAATTTGTGTGAGTGTGCGTGTGTTTGTTTGTTTGTTTGTTTGTTTTTGTGTGTGTGTG